TACTTTCAAGTGTGGTCTAAAACAGATACTTGCGAGATACTGTACCGACGCTCAGTGTGCTCAACTCACACCATTGCTTGCCAAAGTATCACCGGCATACTTCTGTATACTCGACAAAATATATATATTCTCTTAGTGTTTGTGTTTATTGTCACCATACTTTACGTAACAAAACCATTACATTTGGAAGCCGAGCAGTTGAAAGGTTAATAAAAAAAATTTACTCTAATGTACCTATCAAACGGATCATCTTGCCTGATCTGTTACATTAAGAACCTGCCCAAAACACTATGGTTGTTAGTAGCTTTGCAAAAATGTACAAATACAATGGGGCTTCGACTTACGATGCTAATCCTTTCCCAGAGACGGATCGTAAGTCAAAATATCATAAATCAAAGCGATTTTTCCCATAAGAAATACAGGGATTTGAATTAATCCGTTCTCCACCCTCCAAAATATTAACATACAAATACATTTTATACTGAATAATGTTTTTTCTAACTACAATACAGTACCTAAGTTTATCTTACCTTTATGGAGGGCTCTTGATGGCATATGGAAGATGGTGATGAGGGGGGAGGAGGAGAGTTATTACTGTTTGGAAGGGGAGTCCCCTTCCATTATCACATCAGGCAGTGATGTTTTCTCTGGGGTACACTCTCTCCTACATTTTGCCTGAATACCACTAGGACCTGGTTGTGGTTCAGTGCTTGTTTGTCTCACTACAAATTTGTCAAAAGACATTTGTTTTTCCCTTTGTTTTAACATTTGTCTGTAATGATGCATCACTTGAGCACCCATAATGTCCTTTTTCTTAGCCAGTATAGTGGATATCGTTGACCGAGATTTGTTGTACTGCCTAGCCAGTCCAACAACCTGCACACCATCTTCATATTTACGAATGATCTCTTGTTTCTGCTCTATGGTCATCCTTACATGGGATCTCATATGTTGAGCCTTACCACTGACTTTCCTGGGACTCATGGTGTGATATATAATAATTACTTTTATGTTCAAAATGCAAAAAATACCCACAAAAGCGAAATTTCTTATAGGCGCGATCGTCACTAAGCGAGCAGCTGTAGTAAACCGAGGCAGGTCGGCCGCGTGACCAGGAACCACGCGCTCGGTCGACCCGAACGTGTACCAACAATTATCATTAGTCAACAACAGCATCTGATGTCGAGTCGCATTTTTACATAAATCAAAATTTACATCGTAACTCGAAATTACTGTAAGTAGGGGCAATCGTAAGTCGAGGTGCCTCTGTACCAATAATATGTACTCACAAACCCACTGACCTTGTTGTAAATAAATAAATAATAAAAACCTTGGAGTCAAAATCCACCATTCACTGAAAGTTGCACAACAGGTAGGAGCAGCAGTCAAGAAAAGACAACCAAACCCTTATAATAATCAAGTGTACCTTTGACTTTAAGGAAAAGAAGGAAGTGATTCAATTGTAAAATCTCTGGTGTGCCCCCCATCTAGATTACTGTATCCAAGCGTGGAGACCATCTTCAGAAGGGCATAGCTGCTACGGAGAAAGTGCAACACCGGGCAACAAAAATCATTCCAGGGATAAGTCAACTCTCATACCTGGAGCGATTGAGGGCCACAGGGCTAACAACACTGCAAACCAGGCATAAAAGGGTGGATCTCATTAAAAATTAAAATACTGAACAATTTGGAGGATGTTGATCCCGATATTTTCTTCTGGTCAGATGTAACACAAGCAAGGAGCAACGGTTTCAAGCTCAACAAGCCACAATGTAGAACTGAGAACAGAAGATGCTTTTTTACCCACAGGGTTATAAACACATAGAACTGCCTACCCACGGAAGCCATAAATGCCAAAACTGTTAAATTTTGAAGTACAGCTGGAAAAGATCATCAAGGCAAATGGGGAAACCTTCAACAAGCTGCCGGCTTCCTGTCCTCGTCAAGGCTACTAGTGTCAATGGCCCTCAGGTAAATTCAGGTAAGTAAATTTTTTCTACAATGTACCTATTAAACTTACCTGATCTGTTAGATTAAGGACCTGCCTGAAATGCTATACATGTTAGTGACTTTGCAAATAAAAATACTAACATTATGTACTTTCACAAACCCATTGTACCTTCTTGTAAATAAATAAATAAACAAATAAAATGAAGATGCAGGCTACTTCATGCTGAGCATGGTCAAATCATTCACAGGCATTACAAAAAAAGCATACTTACAAAAACTGTTTATATCATTAGGTCAGGTGAAATCCATAATACAGTAGGGTACAGTGGAAGCTCGGTTTTCAAATTTTTCAGTATTCAAGCTCAATTTCTTTGAAAATTTTGATTCAGTACTCGTTTGCCTCTGTGCTTGGAGTTTGTTTATACAGTACACGTACGGGTCCACCGAGCGCATGGCGTCACGGTGAGGCACGCCTCAGTTTACCAGCGTCCTGCCGAGATGATGACCGCGCTTGAATTCTTTGTGAAGAATTTTTGTTGGGGGCCTTTTTAAGTTTCTGAACATGAAATTAATTATTATATATCATGCCATGGGTACCAAGAAAGTCAGTGGCAAAGTTCAACTTAAGAAAACAACTGCGAGGATGACCATAAAGCAAAAACAAGAGATCATTCATAAACATGAAAATGGTATGAGGTGTGTTGAACTTGCTAGACTTTACAACAAAAATTTATCAGTGATATGCTCTGTAATTGCTAAGGAAATTATGAGTGCTAAAGTGACAAAAGGCATAACAACAATCACAAAACAAAGGACAAAAACACTTGAGGATGTTGAAAAGTTATTATTAATTTGAAAAAACAACAAGCAGTTAGCAGGTGATAGCATTTCAAAGGCCATCATTTGTGAAAAAGCAAGACTTTTTTCACCTTGCAAAAAAAGAAGAGGATGTCCCTTCCTCAAGAATTAAAAAATGGTATACAATATGGGGAAGAAATACAAAGTTTTGTTGAAAATTCTCACCCAGATAAAGCTGTAACACGCTGATGTGTAACCTTTTTAATGACAATAGATGTCTCACTTCAGACAAGTGTTACAATGTAGGGAAAAACCAAGTGTCGCTAGACAGGTTTTTAGTGAGAAAACAAGCAGTGAGCCACAAGCAGGTCCTAGTGTTATGCCTGTAAAATTTAAGAGAGAGAGAGTACCCCAGAAATGTCATCACTGCCTGATGTTATAATGGAAGGGGACGCCCCTTCCAAACACTAACACCTTTCCTTCCCCCTCCCTCCTCACTGTCTTCCATATGCCAACAAGAGTTTGGCATGCAAGAGTTCTAGTGCTACCCAATCCCCCAATCTTTGTACCTAAGCCATATTCTTCACCATTGTAATCTTAGATCATCTGTTATCATGGTTGTTGTATCGAGTGCATATTCTACTGCATTACTCCTTGTAATGATCCTCATATTGTGTTTCAGTGATCCAATGTATAACCCTGAGTTGTTTTCCTAATTGTACTTAGGATTCCATGTTCATTATTGTGTATTGTTCTGATCAGCTTTTGTGTCACAAATTCTTGCAATGTACAGTACCTGTAAACATTTTTTTTGACAATTTTACTGTAATTATCCTACTTAAAATCATATGAACTTGTAAAACTGTAAAGTACCTGTTAAACACTTATCAATTTTACTCTTATTTCTCAAAACTGTTAGTTTAAGGATTTGCTCTAAGGTTTAGTTTAAGTTTTTTAGTTTAACACCAGAAATACAGTATCTCTTTGATATCCCCAGGGTCAAACTTAATCTGTGTAAACACACTATGCAAATAAAGGGACCTAATCTATGGAACTCACTCCCTAGTGAATTGAAAAGCTGTCAAACTTTTGCCTCGTTCAAAAACAAAAACAAAATGTACCTAATTTCATCTTCGTAGTTTCCTACACTGAGCTTTAAATTTGCTCTGTATCTAGTGTTACCCAATCTCCCAATCTTTATGTACTAATCCAAACAACTCCATCATTGTGTTCATTGCTGTCTTATGTGCTAGCCATATGCTGTACTTATTGTGCCTACTAATTTTTTTCTAAACTACCATTCAAGCTGTCATTGCAATCAATCTGAGCTACCTATGTGCTCTAATATACCTACAAATTTCTCTCATCTTTAATTTTTTTCTTGCTATGTACCTGTTATCATTTTTTTAAATTTTGGTAGTATTTACCTACTTAAAATTTTCTTAGATCAAGGACCTGCCCGAAATGCTGCGGGTACTAGTGGCTTTACAAGAATGTAATTACTATGCTATGTATCCTCACAATCCCAATGTACCTTCTTGTATATATATAAATAAATAAATTAATTAATTAAGGACTTGCCCGAATCACTAATGCGTGCTAGTGGCTTTACAAGATTGTAATTTCAACTTAAACTATGTTCTCTCTTAACCCCCCAATGTACTTTCTTGTATAAAAATATATAAATAAAATAAATAAATAAATATGAGTCCTTCATAAAGGTAAGGTATCTACGAGTAGTTTTCTGTATAAAATGTATTTTTCAGTTAATATTTTTGAAGGCGTAGAACGGATTAATTCAATTTACATTATTTCTTATGGAAAAATTTGTTCTGATTTTCAAATTTTTGGTTTACTAACAGTCTTTGGGAACGAATTAAATCCGAAAACAGAGGTACCACTGTAAACGGATTATCATTAGGTCAGCATTAACAGCTTAGGGTGGGTTTGGTTCAGTATGGTAAGGATATGGGGGTTATGTTTAAAATACATTTCCAAAGTCTTGGATATGACGTAACTTATATCCTTTGTACATTAAATGGACTAAACAGATTGATGGCCGAGTACAACTTGATTGCACCCATATTAATCCACAGTCCAAACCAGGAACCAGATACGGGACCTTTTATCCAGAAAATAATTCATACAATTTAAAATGTAGCCAAACCCAATGCAATCAATGGACGCTTAACAAAATGTGTGGAAACATGTTGTATAATGTGAAAATAGTTTCAACCAACACTGGACTTTACCTTAACAGAAGTTCCTCCTTTTTTCTCCTTACTGCCACTACTGCCACTTGCTTCATCTTTGTCTCCTTTGCCACCTTTTGCACCTCCTCCACCTTTACCACCTCCTCCTTTCTTCGCTCCTCCCATTCTCTCCTGGCTAACGAGCCCTGTGGTATACACTCGGCTTAGCCCCTTTAGAAAAACATGCTATGCGTGTTTATCATATAGCATACATCAACATGCTAAAAGGGTTGATGTATCTTGAAGACCTAATTGATGATACGTGCAGCTTGCTGTTGTTGATTTTGGGTGACTTGTTTAGCTTCTCAACTCGATGGACGAGTGTTTTTCCAGAGTTGAGTCTCTGTCAACTGCTAGGCAAGACTTGATGGTTGTTCCTGTATGTTAGAATTGGTGTGAACACCCTCTATCACTTCTATTATATTCTTTACACTATATGCAGGGCACCTTGAAGTGATAAATTCTAGTCTCGGAGCAACAGTGAGTGAGCGCACAAATAATGTTGTGTTGATTTGGGGACTGGTCAAGTCGTCTACTGCAATTTCGGATACCGGGCTAGAAACAACTTCGTTCACTGAGAAGTTTGTACATACAAACCATTCAGTTCGTATATGCGCTAGTTTGTGTTCGCTGTTGTTCTCGTCTGAATACATACATGGCACTTGTTCATATAATTAGCGCTTCCATTATTAGAATTATTTATCCATTATTAGAATAACATGGTGCAAACCATACCCCCTTACAGTTGAAATCTATTTATTTATATACAAGAAGGTGCATTGGGTTGCGAGAGTACATAACATATATTAAGAGGTACATTGTAGCAAGATTTGAGATTAAAGGATTTAAGACTAACACGTATAGAAACAAGGCGCCCCCGAAGGAGGCTAATTTATTATGCACCCCATACTCAGTGAATAGTGGCTATTTTTACATTATCATTTACAACTAACTTAAGTAAAATAACAACCAGTAAACAGACTGCTTTTTCTAATTCTAGTTCAGGAACTTCCTGGGATAAAACGTGAACATGCCTTAAGGAACTGTGAGGTGCTTATCCGTTTTTCCTTGTAACGATCCCAAAGTTTCCACAAATGTTCCTGTTTCTCTTTATTCCCCTTGAGGCGACTGGACTTGAGCTTTAGCTCAGAAACCAGTTGGTATTACAAGGTTACAAGGGACGCTTCACGGTACAGTAAGGGGATTAAAATATATAAAGCCAAGTTGTCCCCCAGATGCTGCTGAAATTAAGGGATTTGCTATGCAGCGCTCCTTGGCAGCTACAGTAACCTTGGTCGTTGCTAGAGCACCTGGATCACCCAAATGATTGTGACAATTGGCTCCTTGCTTGAAATCCTTTCCATGTTGGATGACTGTGGGCAAAGCAACGGTTGCTCTTCTGTCGAATACTGCACCACCAGTAAGTCGTGAAATCCGTTTCCTTGCGTATAGTATATGTATATCCATGACTATTATGTAGTCTTGGTTTCCCACGCCTCGTGCCTGTTGGAATTATCTCCCAGGTAAGAGGGGCGTCTTGTGACAGAGTTGATGGTATTAATTCGTCTCGGATAGACGTGTACTGGACAACAGCGACATGCTCTATCGGAAGGTCTACCGTGAATTAAGGATGCTTCGTACTTACTTGTTACTTCTTCTGCTAAATTTTTCTCTCTGGACGTGTTGTCATCTTTGTACAATGTAAGTGTAGAGCAATGAGGACAGCACCAGAGGAAATTTGTTTCCTCTAATTTTGATTCGCGTAAACGATAGTATTTTTCACTAGAAACTCCAGTACCACATTGTCTATACCTCCATTGTTGGCATATTGCACACAGCATTGCATGATCTGACGATCTCACCTCCTTGCGGCATCCAGAACATACACATTGTTCGTTAATGTTGCCTTCCACATTTCCGTCTTTCACTTTATCTTCGTTTTCCACTTCAGCAATGTAAAGTACACATTCATCGTGCACAGCGTATGCCATTTTTCAATATTGTTGCACAAAACGTCACTGGAAACTAGGAAAGTTTGTTACAAACCTAAGGGGGAAACTTGTAATGCGTGACAAGCAAGAGCAGTAGTATGTCTACACCGCCCAGGTCGACCAACAACTGAATCATGTGAGGTCAGCAGCTCAACAACTCTATCTGATTTTAAGGTGTGAAATAATACTATAGTGTATTTTTCAATCACACTGCCAATTATTTGATTTAAACCCACACTCTCAAGAAAACGTGTACATCACAAAACTTTTATATATAATGTAGGTATATATTAGTTAGTCTTCATACATTTAAAACTTTCTAAGCAAATTGTCAGGTCGCTAAACTAAATGCTACCAATTCTCTTCGTCTGAACCTTCCCCCCCCTCCCTCCCTCTTTTTTTTTTTTTTAAACTAAGACTAGGATTCATAAGGGATGCCTAATAACATACCTAGTGAAACTGCAAGCAAGAGCTGTTATCCTACCTCAGCTCATCTGAAGCCTACACCTAGAAACTCATTTATTTCATAAGAGTATACTTTGAAACTAACACATTGGGAACTATCATATATTTAACTTATCTAAGCTAAGTTGAAACCTACTCCTAGATGCCCATTTATTTCATGAGCCTGGTATTATTTGCTTTAGAAGGAATAGCCTTTATTCATTAAAAAACATTAAGTAACAATCATATAAGGAACAGGATGAGCTTGTAGCCAGCTGTGTGCCAGAGTCTTCATGTGAACAGTTGACCTGATCTCCCGTGTATCAATCTGTTGAACGAACAAGTTCCAGATGCGAGTAAGTCTCGGAAGGAATGAACGCTGATGGAGTGATGTTCTTGAGAATGGCACTTCCAGCATGAGACTGTTAAAGGTTGATAGCCTAGTGCTACGAGTGGGAACTACTGGTACTCCACGGAATTGGGCCAAGTGCGGAACTTTGAGGATGTTGGCCTTGTACATAACAGTAAGACCAACAACGTCCCGACGGTGTTGCAGGCTCTGATGTTCAGACCGTTCCCACCAGACTTGGTCAAGACTAGAGATAAGCCTTCTAGCCCGTCTCTCCACTTTGTCCAACAGTCTGACGAAAGATGGGGGGCAGGCAATCCAGGAAAGGGGTGCATACTCAAGATGGGAGCGAACTTGAGCTTCATATAAAGTTTTGCATCCCTTGTTGTCAAGAAGATATGAGATGCGCCTCTCTCTCTCTCCCCCCCCCCCCCCCCACCGACAAACACACACTGAGATAATAGGAAGGATAAGAAACTTTGATGATTGTCATGCCCTTCAAGATGACCTGGACAAAATAAGTATATGGAGCACCACTTGGTAAATGGAATTTAATGTTAATAAATGCAGAGATGATAATGTTAAAGAGGCCGAGAGTCGGTACATTAGACAACCGACGCTTAGAAAGGCGGGGTCCAAGAGCTAACAGCTAAATCTTGCTAATAATAAATCAAAATATTTAATACACACATATACATGTTTTACATGAATTTGGCTGAGGGCGACCATCATCTGTGATGGACTTGTAGCGAGTAAACCTATACTCATGTAACGTACGATTATGTTACGTTGTTGGGTTGATTAGATACACAGTGTTTAGTGAGTTTCATATTTATTTAGAAGTCCTGGATACAGCAGTGTCGTAGATGTTGAGATGAAGCCTGGAGCAGAGCAGAGAGCTGAGTGAGGCCGGAGTCGTGGAGCTCTATGCGGGAGAGCGTAGCGGCTCGATTGGGAATTGCGAGTGTCTGAACTCGGGGAGCAAGAGCGTTGTAGCTGGATGCTGTCGTAGTCTGCTGTCTGCTCTGTGTCGAAGCTGTAGCGTCTTGGGTCGATTAGAACTGCCCACGCCGAGTACTACATTCAAGACTGGAGATTGTACTGGTTTGCTATTCTTAGATTTAGCTACTCAGAACGAAATGTCCATGTAGCACGGGCTGTGGTGAGCCCGTATTTGCTATTCTCAAATCGCTGGCTTATATACGGTTACTACACCTCACAGTAAGATAGGAGGGTGGAAAAACCGTTACCTGTAAATAGGGATAGGATTATAGCTTGTGTAATTAGTTATGTCATTAAGATGATGAGATAATGGAGCGAGTATAGGTTTACTCACTACACTCCATGTCTGTATCCGTGGATGAGTTTCCGTCCATGTCTGTATCCGTGGATGAGTTTCCGTCCATGTCTGTATCCGTGGATGAGTTTCCGTCCATATCAAGGCTACCCAGGAGGGAAAATCGATTAGCACCCTGGGCGTATGAGGCATGTGACTGGGACAGGCAAGAGCGTCTGCTAGTTCCTACTTGTGAAGAGTCCCGACCAGGGGGAACCTGGAGGCGAGAAGAAACGATTGGCTGATTGAGGATGCGCTCATGTCGAGGTGTCTCCGCTGTTTTATGATCGATGTCCAACTAAAGGGCCTCAAGATATACAGGGCAACTCTTGGACGTAACCTTATGGTGGCCATGGCATAAAAAGCAGCTAGGTACAGCAGAGCACCCACCGTTATCTCTGTCTGTATATGGCCTGTTTTGCCGCAGTTTGCACAACGTGCTGCATTACGGCAGGTGAGGCGTGTGGCCCAATAGATGACAAGCGTAACATCGTAACACAGGGAAGTTGTAGGGCTGAAACCGATACGAGGTCCTGTGTAGTGCCACTCGGTCAGGGAGGGGCCCATCGAACTTTACACGGACCATGGATGTCGGCCATGCTGCTCCGCGAATCCTGGTAACTTCCAATAATCCCGCTGATGCACCCGTTAATACCTGCAGAGCGGCCTGGATGTCATCCACATCAACACTCTGGTCAATTGGGCCAATCTTCCCATACCGGGCCTGAGACTCCTCCTGCGACAATACCCTGCGACAATACCCTGCGACTAACTACCCAACCCTCCTCCTGCGACTAACTACTCAGCCATTCACAACTGCCGTCCTATACAAAGAGGTGGTGGTACTTCTCTTTACTACCACCATGCACTGACTTGCTTAAAAGTAATTAAATCTAGAGACCCTTATGGAGAGTATATATTTGCCTGTTTCAGAGTCAAGGGTAACGATGCTGTCTTGACTGTGGGAGCAGTCTACAGGGTTCCTAACACTGATGTGACTGAATTTAACTCTAACCTTAGAAATCTTATACTAGAGAACCGACTGAACAAAAACCACTTAATTATTTCTGGTGACTTTAACGTTGACCTCTGCGAGCCTGATAACCCTCCTGCTGCTAGTTTCCTCAACTGTATGAATTCCTGCTTCCTCATACCCGTAATCACTAGACCTACTAGAATCACTGACAGTACTGCCACGGCTCTTGATCACATCTGGACCAACATAACCTCTCCCCTTACTTCAGGGGTAATCATCGATAGCACTACAGACCATAACCCCACATTTCTCCTAACCAACATTAACAAACCACCTCTAGAGACAAGAGAGATAAGCTTTAGGCTGTACAATGAAACTGCTATAGGCAATTTTATAGCTGTTGCTGCTAATATCAACTGGGAATCCGAATTAGGAAACATAGGGGACATCAACCTAGCAGTGTAATCATTTCTTCAAA